TTGATTATGATGGAGATGATTTTGAGGCTGTATTTAATTTATCTTTTGAGGTATTTGTTTGAATAATCAGCCCAATTTTACAAGTAACTTAATATTTGAAAACATTTTTGTACAATTACATTTAAAAAATTTATACTATTTTTCAGATTATGCAAGAACAGTTTGGTGAAATCAAGTCAGTAGAGTTATGTACAGATGGTAAAAACAAGCTTGTCAATCAGACAAACAAGTAAGTTCAAAAAGTTTACTTTCATATAGTTTATCATTTATTTCTAAAATACCAGTAGAAATACTCAGAAATGTTTTTCTTTTATATTGGTTTACTAAAATTTTACCTGTTTATTCCTTATATTATATACCCGGTACTTAAACTACTTAAACACTTTTCGTGTATGTTCAATTACTCAATAGAAATGACCACATTGGTCAATTTTCCCACATTGATTTTTTATCATGCAAATTCTTTTTTTTTTTTTTTTAAACACTGAATAGCTTTGATAGTGATAGTGATTGTAAAGCTATTCGTTTAAATTAACACAGCTGTGAAAAACAACCTATATAATATTTCTTTTTCTTTTATTGCAAAGTAAACATGGTGAAAATAGAAATTTAATAAAAACAGATAGTTGCTTTTTTTTGTAATCTGAAACACAAAATAACTTAATTAATGCTCTTACATTTATGTCTGTGTGGACTAAATTACTATTAGTGTGAGAGAGAATTTCAAAAGATCTAGAACTCCATCTCAACTGAGGAGCCAAAGAATTGTCAGTATATATACATATTTTGTAACATCCTAATGACAGGGCAAAAAAAAAATAAGCCTGTATATGTACCAGCTATAGATAAGAAAATTTTCTTAAGTCTTAATCTCAAACTGATGAACCAATGATATGTGATTGTGTATGTGAGTTGGATGATTTTGTGTTATAATGAATTGGTTAAAGAAAAGCCAAAGTATATTATCAAAACTGTCAAAAGAGAGTCCCTTCTGACTTTTCCATGGCAGGATGATAGCAAAGGTCTTTTTTAAGGGCTTGTAGAATTCACATGCTATGCTGAATTGTCTGTAGTTGGGGTGGGGGCATGTTCTACTACAGGCCCCAATCAAAAGAAGAATGTATATGATGATTTATTTTGGTGGAACACCTTTATTTGTTCATCATTCACTGAGACAGCCCACATTATAACTGTCTGCTCACTTCTGATTCTAGTAACCCTTTGCCTTGTTTTATTATGTAATAGTATTGTTGGGACACTCCCACAGTTAAATCCTGATCCCTTACATACACACTTTTTTCCAACTAGTTGTATGTGATGCTCATGCTTCACTCCATTGAAATAGATGATTAAGGTTTCTGATTTTAAGCCAAACCTTACTTACTGTTCCCTTTAATGGAAAGGCCTGCATAATACATAGCTTTAGCCTGTGAATTTTTGTGAGCATTAAGAGTGAAATACTTTGTACCTTGTCACTCCACCGAGTAATAAGATAGGATTATCCCTTTCCACAATTTAGTCCTCACCCCATATATAAACACTTATTTTTTTAACCCATTAGTTGTAGCTGATAGCTCACTGCCTTCAAGTATATATTGTTTATTTTGAGCAGAACATTGTTTTCCCTGTTCCCAACAACACATTTATTGCATATTTTTGCCTGCCCTTGAGAGCAATAATTAGTGGTAAGTGATTGAGGGAGTTGACTTGTATATATCAAATTTTAGACATGTTTTCAGCTTTATTTTTACATAAAAATAACTCTTTTTGTTACTACTAGACAGTTTTAATTTGATGGATTAAACTTCAAACTTTTAGATATTTTTTTACTATAACCATCAGATTATTCACCCTGCTACATTGTTTTTGTTTTTTTTTGTTTTTTTTAAAGTTTTTTTAAGATTCATTATTATTTCGCATTTGTACTAGATAGTTATACAAACAAAACTCATAAGTTTTTTCCTGTCTGTACAGGCATGAGTACATCAACCTATATATTGACTATTTGTTGAATAAGTCAGTAGAAGTTCAGTTCAAAGCTTTTAGTGAAGGATTTCATAGTGTGTGTGGTGGCAATGTCTTGGATTTATTTCACCCTCAAGAACTCCAGGCCATGGTAGTTGGGAATGAAAATTATGACTTCACTGAGTTTGAAAAGGTAATTTTTAGCGGCCCCCAAAAGGGGAAAAGATGCTATTAGTTTTGTGTGGACTGTCCATCTGACCCGTTTAGATCTCAGAAACTGGAAGAGAAAATGAAAATCAGACTTCATTTTAGATCATTCAAACTTCTGATGCAACTGATACTTTTTTCTTTTCCGAAATTGAACCATCTAATTTTTAAAATTATATATGCAAGCAGATTTTTCAAAAAATTACACCACTTCAGGGGAGGTAATTTTTTTTTAAAAGGTCATGCCAGTCACGGACTTCTTCATTAATAAATCAAGCTTCATTCATAGATTCGCACATTGGTACAAAACATTTGCATCTAAGGTCAGAATGGTAAAAGTATCAATGTATCATTTTGAAATATATTTTCCATTTATTAACTAACTCATTGAATAGAATACTGATTCAAGTGTTATTTTTAAAAAAGAATTTTGATATGAATTTCTTTTTAGTAATAAGTTTCAAAAATAACGAACTACTTTTATAGTGCGCAGTTTTGACATATCCTCATCATAGGGGCCTACACTTGACAGTGACAGTCTAAATAAGACTAAATAGAGCCCAGATCTACATAATTATGCTAATCTAGATATAGTAGATTCTTTATCAAGATTCTATATTTAGTTTTAGATCTAGATCTAGAGTAATCTAGACCTAGATATAGACTTAGATCTAGATATAGACTTAGACTTAGATCTAACTCTAGATCTAGTCAATCTAGACTTAGAGACTTAGATCTACTTCTATATCTAGGGCAGTCTAGGCTTAGATCTAGTTCTAAACCTAGACTTAGATCTTGTATCTAGATTTAGATCTAAAAACTAGGTCTAGATCTAGCTAGATCTATGTCTAGTTTGTATGAGTATGACAAATGACAATGGAGATATTAATTTTTATTTGCTAGGGGAAGTCTTATTGTCATTTGTACACAATTGTAGCTTAAAGTAGGTCAAGAATTTATTTTTTTCGTTTTGCCAATTTATCTAATTTTGTTAGAATAAATCTTTTTTAGTTTCTCTTTATTACATGTAACATGTTATTAATTTTAAATGTATGGATAAGGTTAATAAGTGTACGCTAATTGAATATATGGAGATGCTGTGGCAGAGGAGTAAAGCACTTTGAAATGGAAGTCCAGTGTTCGAATCCTGGTGAAGACTCTAGGTGGACCACTTCGGGAGCCATTTTGAGTTTGTCTTTGTAACCTTGTTGTTTTTTTTAAAAATATTCTTGTGGTACTTTGATCTCTATTCTATATTGATGGTTTGTATCTCTGCTAGTCATGCTCACAGAAGTTTGTTCTAAAAATAGTTTTCTTCTTGTTATTTATGGTCAGGGACCAAAAGATTTAAACATTTTTGTTTGAACTTTTCCAGAATACAGATTACAAAAATGATTATCATAAATATCATCCAACCATCAAAATGTTTTGGGAAGTTTTTCATGAGATGAGCTTAGAAGACAAAAAAAAATTTTTGTGTAAGTTTATAATTTTTCTTTACTAACTACATTTCTATAAACTATTTTTATCTATAAGATACTTTTATGTGTTTTCATATTTGTTTATTCACAAGTGATAATTTTCTTGTCGAATTTCAGTGTTTTTAACAGGCAGTGATCGTATTCCAGTATTTGGCATGAAAAATGTCAAGGTAAGCCTACACACTTTACTGACTGACATTGAAATTAGAACTGCTGAATGTAGATCTACCAATGTCTTTAGGTTCTGTTCAATGAATTTCAACATGAAAATTTCAGTCTACCATCTCACAGTCATTTGGTATTATAGTTATTTTTTTTTTTTGTCAACAGATGACCATTCAGCCTGCAGGTGGCGGAGAGCAATTTTTGCCAGTAGCTCATACCTGTTTCAATCTGTTAGATCTACCACGCTACACTGTCAAGTCCACTTTGAGAGAAAAGCTTCTTTTGGCCATCCAACAGACGGAAGGTTTTGGTTTAGTGTAATTGTAATTATAGTTGATATGACTTCCTGAACTAAGAAATGAAAGAAATGTTTCTTTCTGTGTTAAAGACATAACTTGTACTCCCCATGTAATATTGCTAGATGATAATATTTTAAGAACTGTATTTCAATCATTTACTTATCAGCCCAGGTTTTGGTTTCTTCCATCCTGAACCTACTAGTCCCATTAAACATGTGCTGGACTAAATCCATGGCTTTATTTCACATTCACTTGTTTCATTGTTTGTGTTCTTTTTAGTTTCACTTTTTGTTTTCTTCACTGGTTTCATTTTTTGTGTGCCTTTTAAAACAAAAATAGAAGATAGTTTTTTTTTAGCTTCAATATTGAGTAGGAAAAATAAAAGCTTACAATTTGTTGTATACAGGTGTTTCTCTTCTAGAACTAATATTGTGCTCTTATTTATTAAAAATGAAAGAATCAGATTTCAAACATATCTAAAATGGGTAGCTCAGAATCCTGTTTTTGTATTGTTTTCACAACTTGTAAACAAAGCAGATTAATAACAACTTTCAAAACCTTCACCAATGTTTAGAAATGTTCAGTTTCTATGCTTGGCTTCATCTGTTATGAAGATAAGATCTGATGATATTCAAAGTGTCCAATAGAGACAGTTGTTTATTGGGTCATACAATGTTCACTGCCACAGAAATGAAGGAATTTTACTTCAGATCTTTTAAAAAAATAAATGTGCTTACTGATGCTGACATATGATACTGACAATATTTAGACATCTTCTTTGTCTTATTGGCAATGTCAAAAGCAAATGTTCTCTAATTAGACAAAAAGATGAGATCAAGAGATTTTATTTTATATCATATATTTTCTTTCTCACTTATTGAAAAATAGAAATGAAAAACAGTAGTTGTTGTTTTATACATTGGACTCACCTTTTCAAGTCTTTTCATGTTTTTCTTGTGTGTTTTATTTGTAATTTAAACATTCAGCCATATTTTCTAAGAGCCAACTGGAATATAGATTTACCATTAGGTTTGTTTGGATGATCATCACAAAATAGTATAGGATTTGTGTGTCTGCAGCTCAAGGGAAATATCATTTCCCCATTTGTATAATGCAATAAGTATTAATTATGTTTGATTTAAATTATAGAGCCTAGTAGATCTCTTATTGATTTTTCTTTTACATTTATTTTTAAAGCTTAGATTTATTTTTTTATTAACCAACTGGCAATTATTTGTCGTTTCTTATTTGAAGCAATAGATCCACCTATTTCCCCTTGTGAAATATTTGAATGATGTTTTAATACAAGCTATACAGATGTATACAAAGATATAGATATATATATATATATATATATATATAGATAGATAGATAGATATATAAAGTGGATTTCTTTAGACATGCTTTTATTCTAACATTCATATAGACTGATGTTTTATTATGATGATTTCTTTGTGCTATGGTATTATATTGTGTTTTGAAAATATATCAGGACAAACTAATGTCTTGTCTATTTATTTTTCTTGTCCAAGTATTTATTCAGACAGAGAAATCTGCTTAATTTAAAATACCAGAAAACAGGGAGTGACTTTGTTGAAGTGTATTTCAATATTTATTCAATGGAAATAAATGATCAATGTCCATATCTTATAGACTTACTTTACTTGTCAGTGAACTCTTCAAACATGAACGGTAATTATTTTACAATTGCTCCTGAGATTCTTAAATAATCATTAACATATTGGCTAGAATACAGCATGTCTCTGCAACAGCTTTCTTGAGCAGTGCTTTAGTTGATGTCCTGTAGTAATAACATTTTCCTTTCTATTGTAAGAGATTATACTTTCCTTTCGAAGAATTTTGACTTTTCTGTTTATTAGAATGGCTGCCTGGTCGTGCAGTTTGCGTTCTGGACTATCGTTTGGATTTATGGATGGTACAGCATTCAAACCCTGCTCCCACCCCCATTGTCCTGCGGGAGTAAATTATCTTCAACTCTGAAGGAACACCCGAAACATGTACATTTTACAAACAGACATTTTTTTTATTAATTAGAAAATAAGCGTATTGCAAGTGTCAGTGATTATGGTGCACACTATTTGGAGGTGTGCAGGTGACAGACCAGGTGGGAGAGGTGTCCAGTTGACCAATTTTTTCAATAGGAACCCCATCCAGGCTGTCTTTACATAATCTAACCTACTTGATGTGATGTACACAAAAAGAAAGCAATACTAGGAATGACAAGCAATGTGTTGAAGGCTAGACTACTGGCTTGTTACTGGTACATACAGAACACACAAAATGTTCCTTTTTAGTCGAATTAGCAGGAATTTAGCACAGCTTTATTTTCAATAGACTTAGAAGAATCAGAATATTGACTTGTAAGTTCAAATTATCTGAACATACCATTTATTCATTATATGGTTATCTGTGTTGGTGTAGTTGTTATTTATAAAAATATTAACAACCAAAGGTTATATTAAGATCTTAATGAAGCCATGCATATGAACCTGGACCTTAAAGAGGAAAATTTAGAATTTTTTGTTTTTGTTTAGTTCATCCAACTACCTATTATTTCAGCTAATTGAAAGTTTAAAGCATGTCGCTTCTATCTTATAGTATTTGAAAGTATATAGTTCGTTTATCAGGGTTCGATGATGACCACTTTGTCATCCAGGGGGCTGAGGGCTTTGCACTGGCTTTGCCTCCTCATGTGGCTGGTGAGAGACCTATGTGAGCCCGGAATGTCCGGCCGCACACTGGGCAGGTTATTCCAGCTGGAGCTAGTGTCGTTTGTCTTGCTTTTCTTTTCTGGCGTTTTTCTTATGCCAGCGTTGTTCTTTTTTCCTCAGAAACCTTTGCGCCAGTTTTCACAGCGCGACGCCATGATGCTGTGTCATGTGCCTCTGTCTCCCAGGTGCCTGGGTCTATGCTGAACGCCTTCAGAGAAGCTTTGAGGGTGTCCCTGAAGCGCTTTCTTTCGCGTAGTTGGCCATACAAGAGTCGTTTAGGGATGCGGTTGTCTTCCATTCTGTAGACGTGACCTGCCCATCGCAGCTGGGATTGCATCAGGATTGTGTGGATGCTTTGCAGACACGCTCTTCGAAGGACTTCTGTATCTGGTATTTTGTCTTGACATTTAGTATTTTTCTCAGACATGTCATGTGGAAGTGGTTTAGTTTCTTTGCATGGTTTCTGTACACTGTCCATGTTTCTGAGGCATAGAGCAATGTAGGGAGGATGACGGCTCTATAGACCCCTAGCTTTGTGTTTGTGGTGATACCACGTCTGTTCCACACATTTGTAGACAGTCTGCCTTGTCTGGCCTTGGCGATACGCAGGTCGATTTCACTATCGATTTTTGGAGTGTCTTGCCAAGATATGTGAATTTGTCCACTGCGTTTATATCCTGTCCATTTATAGTGATGCTTGGATCCGAGTAGGCTTTCCCTGGAGCAGGTAGATATAAGACTTCAGTCTTGTTCGTATTGATGGTAAGGCCAAAGTATGAGCATGCTCTTGAGAAGTCACTGACAATGCTCTGCAGATCGTTTTCAGAGCAGGCATTTAAGGCACAGTCGTCAGCAAATAGCAAGTCTCTGATTACTGCTGCATTTGTTTTTGATTTTACTTTAAGCCGCCTCGGGTTGAATAGGCCACCATCAAATCTGTATGATATATTTATCCTGTTGTTTTCTCTATTTGTGAATGCATCTGTCAGCATAGCGGAGAATATGATACTGAACAGTGTAGGTGCTAGGACACAGCCTTGTTTTACCCCGTTTGATACTTCGAAGGGCTATAATGGTTCTCCACTTTCTTGGACACGAGCCTTCATGTCATCATGAAATAGTCTCACCATGGTTATGAATTTTTGTGGACAGCCATACTTTGACATGATCTTCCAGAGTCCTTCTCTGCTAACAGTGTCGAATGCCTTTGTTAAGTTGACATATATTGAGAACAGGTCAGCATTTTGTTCTTGGCATTTTTCATGGAGCTGCCTTGCTGCAAAGATCATGTCAATGGTTCCACGCTCTTTTCTGAAGCCGCACTGGCTTTCTGGTAGTAGACCATATTCTGTGTTGCATGAGCCGATTTAGTAGGATGCGTGCAAGGATTTTCCCAGCAATAGAGAGAAGAGATATTCCTCTGTGGTTGTCGCAGATCTGGCGGTTTCCTTTTCGCTTGTATAAATGAACAATTGTGGCATCTTTAAAGTCTTGTGGTATTGACTCTTTTTCCCACATAATTAAGAAAAGCTTATGAAGTCTTTCAATCAGGGCTAATCCACCTTTTTTTGTAGACCTCTGCGGGAATGGAGTCAGCTCCTGGGGCTTTCTCGCTTGCGAGCTGTTGAATGGCAAAATCGGTTTCCTTCAGCGTAGGGGGGTCATCCATTTTGTCATTTATTGGTACTTGCTGTAGCCTGTCTATGGCCGCTTCATTTATGATGGAAGGTGTATTGAGAACCTTTTCGAAGTGCTCTGCCCAGCGTTTTAGGATTTCTTCCTTATCTGTCAATAGGATTGTCCCATCAGCATTTAATAGAGGGGATGAGCCTGACTTTGTGGGTCCATAGATTTCGTTTATGGCATGGTAGAAGTTCTTCATATCGTGCTTGTCAGCAAATTCCTGTATGGTTTCCACTTTCTTGCTAAGCCAGGTATCTTGCTTTTGGCGTAGCTGTTTTTGCACATTTTTGCGTATGTTAGTGAATGCATCTTTAGTGGACTGGGAGTTTTGGTTGTTCAGATACAATTTGTGGAGCTTGTGCTTTTCGTCTAATAGTTTTCTGATCTCAGTACTGTTTTCATCAATCCAGTCCTGATGCTTTCTCTCCATAGGACCGAGTATGTTTAATGCTGTGCCATAGCATTGTGTTCAGCACAGGTCTGGAGTAGTAATAATCCGTTGCTGTTGCATTGACCTATCCCAAATTTGCCTAAAGACTCCTTTCCAGATGTGATGGTCAGAGCCGACTCTTGCGTTCAAGTCACCGAGAATGAGTAGATTTTCTGTTTTTGGAATATCAAGTAAGGTGGAGTTAAGTTCTTCGTAGAACTTTGCTATGACATCATCTGGGTTGGTCATGGTGGGTGCGTAACAGCTAACAATGGAAATATGTTTCTTTCCGTTTTGTAAAGGCAGCTTTAGGGTCATGAGCCTATCACTAATTCCTTTGGGAGGCCCGACTAGTTTAGATACTATTGATGTTTTTATGGCAAAGCCGACTCCAGATTCACGTCGTACTTCGGTGCTTCTACCGCTCCAGAAGAAAGTATATCCAGCTCCTCTTTCGCAGAGTTCACCTTCATCTGCAAGCCGAGTCTCGCTTAGTGCTGCTATGTCTATGTTGTATCTGTGGAGCTCCCTGGCTACTAGTGCAGTTCGTCTTTGTGGTCTATCAGATGTGTCGTTGTCAACTAGTGTGCGCACATTCCATGCGCCTATGGTAAGAGGAACTATCCTCGTCTTTTTCTTAGAATTTCGACCGCTTGAGTAGGGTTCCCGCCAACTGCGGTAGGCTCTCTAGGGTAGTTTTGAGCAGGCAATTTTTGGGTCACCTTTTCTAGCCCTGTCCTCATGCTATGGAGGTGAGCAGTGCACTGGGCTGCTCAGCCACTCAGGGGGCTGCCGGACTCCACTGCTGCTCTGTGTCAGTGGTGAACCACCATATGGCCTGTGTGCAGCTACGGCTTCCAGTGTGCTCACACCTACCGCTTCACTGCTTGCCTGTCGCCACAGGACTTTGGTTTGGTTGGGGGGGGGGAATGACAAGTGACTTGCGCTGGAATTTGGATTAAAGTGAGGAGGATTCGCGCAACACGTCGACCTCACTCTCTCGCCCTAAAGCCCGTCCTTTTCCGGAAGCAAGATTTGGTCAAGACGTCCGGGTACAAGTTTGGGTGCAGTGGATGACCAGAGACTTTCTGTGTGTCTTGTCCTGCTCTTGAGTACTCCACAGCACTGTGCTGGTACTTGCCACTCTGTCCGATTAGTCTAGTTTTGTGACGTTACGCACAGGCCACCAAGTCCAGACTTCACATGCTATGTATGTTTGAAAGTATAGATGAAATGTATTATACTATTAATGGGCAGCTTTCATATATAATGATATAGAACGACCACAAATGAGTACATTTAGTCCATTAGAAGTGATGATGTGAGAAAAACAAAGTGTCAGACATTCCTTCAAACTCAGGAAAAGAGTGATAACAGCCCTAGCACAAGTCACATGACCAGGTCATAACTATGTGTATAAACTTTGTTTTCCAGTTTGAAGAGTTAGGAAATGTGACGTATTTCACTTGACAATTAAGATTCAGCAACTTTCTACAAATGACATTGATAAGTCATTCATCTGCTGGGAGGTCAACTATTTCTCAATGTAGTTCTTAAGCTTTTTTTTTAGAAGCTATTTGGCTGCTGCCAAGACTTTTACCTAATATACTATACATATTGCTTTTCTTCTAATTACCTGATTGTAGATGTCTTATATTTTCTCATTTCAGTGTTATTTACAGATGTTCATTATGGAATTTTTATATTTTGTAAGTGTCAATAATTATACAACTCTTTATTGGTTGGGGCACCACACAGGATAAGTCAACCTTCTTTCTCCATTTTTCTCTGGCATTTGCCTTTGATAGAATTTCATTATGATATTCTTTCTGAAAATATTGAAACCTGCCTGGGTGGACCACATCGGGGGACCAATTTTGAGTTTGTGTTTCCACACAAAATGTCTAAGTAACCTTGTTTAATTATGATTTTGCTCGAAAGTTGCTATGTTTCACAAAATATATATAC